GTTGTTGTGTACGTGAATGTGGCGACGTCTTTGTTGACAACAATATCGCTTGGACACTGATTGCTCTTGCTATTGTTCGCATTGCCAAATGCGTCGGGCGAAAGGTGCAGAGCGGCGTGCAAGCAAGCAACATTGGTTGAAAACAAAGTCGAAGGAAATCATTGGGCAACAATCTAAAAGCGCCGGCGACTCGCTAATGAATTGTTGTGGAAAGGGGTATGTACGAGGGTGTGAGGTGCCAAAATAAAACAAAAATAAAATCGTATCGCAGGCAGCTATCTCCGCTGCCTAGTGTGATTTGGACGCACTCACGCATCTGGTTATTTTGAAGACATTTCCAAGTGTAACGCTCGCCTGGCGTTACATTCCGATGCGTTGAATTTATATGCGCACACATACACAATACGTATGCACTGTGTTTATATGTATGCATATGCGTATAATTGTGCCTACGTTAATGGCCCCGAACCGGACCAGTTTACGAGCGCGACGCAAAGTGAGAACACACACACAGCCGTGAAATGTGAATGTGCGCAAGCAACGTTGGTGATGACGTTGGAGTTGGAAGTTGGCAGTCAGCGCGGACGCTGACTCTGACGGTAACCTGTGTAAACCAACACATTCGCTGATTTAATGCTGTAAGATAGCTGTTTTTAATTTTTTTTTTTGTTTTGTGTTACTTTAACAATATTGCTGCTTTTTGAGTGTTGCGGCCAAAACAAAAGTGCAATAATTTTTCGGCCTTGAGATGACTTGGCTTTTAATAACTAACCAAAGCGCTGACGAATGAACAAATGGAAAATTTAAAGCAATAAACATGCATACATAAATATGCATGTTATGTATATACTATATGTGTATTTTCAGCAGCTGACAGCAAGGCAGCTCGTTGCAAAGATTAATGAATCGTTGGTGTAAAAGCTTGGTACTTTGATTGCCCTGTCGTTGTCTGAGGCATGAAAAACAGGCTTTTGTTGTATTTTTTGTTGACTGATGACGCTTGTCTCACATAATGTATGTGTACGTGCGGTTTTCATAGTAATTTTATTTCTATAAATATACAAAATGAAATTTTTCTTAACAGTTATTTAGGTACAACTGAAACGCATTTTTATGCTGTGAAAAAATAAATAAAAACTGTACAATTCCTCTTCATAAAAGTTATCGTGTGGTTTTTGTGATTTTTTTTTTTTTATAACAGTAATTTTTTTAGAACGTTAATTTTATTAAAGTTTCAAGTACGAATTCGGTCCCATGAGTATAATAAATACATATGTATTTCCTATATGTAAAATATTTTGCATTGAAATTTAAGTGTGAATAATACAATATGGAACAGTTATCCACAATTACAGTTAGAGAGGCGATCCTTCGAACAATAGCAACAATTAATCTTTTACGCTGCAATTAAGACGTCGAAAATATAAATTACCCGAGTTTTAATGCATTTTTAATGTGTATGAATGCCTTATAATTGTTTTGTGACGTTTTATTTAAATTTATTGTAACCTGGAGGCATTATGTTAAGTTTCCTAAGAAGTTAGTTAACACTCAGAAGAAAACCGAGATGCTTCAAACTATATACACATACAGTTACGGACAATAAAATAGAATCAAAGGTATTGCTTTGAAACAATGGCATGCTTTTTTTTTTTTTTTTTGTTTGATTTATTTAGTAACTCAAAAAGTGTAAATAGTGTGCCTCGTGCTTAGTGACAAAATAATACAATCAATTTCATAACTGAAAAATATTGAATTTAAAAAGCGTAAAAAATAGTTATATTAACTTAATTAGACCGGTGGAATGAATAATTGTATCAATTATGAATTTATTTAAAAAAAATGGGTTGTTCAAAGGAGGGAAGATTGGGCGTCCAAAATTTGCAAGGAATGGGTTACGGGTAAAAGCAAATTGCCAAAATATGGAATATGGCTCAAACAATTGTATTTCTCAAAAAGGTTGAAAAAATACGCCGTCCACAAAAAAAAATGATTGGGGAAAGTCGTTCGAAATGTTGCATGACAGCCGATGCGCGTACCGTTTAAGGCCTCTGCAGCCATTCAATAGGAATTATGTGCAAAAAATTCTTCAAGAACAGTAAGAAGATGACTAGGGGAGAAAATTTGCTTTGGCATATGGTCCCGAAAGGTGCCAATGCTGAGCAAACAGTGTAGATGCAATCGTATTCATTTTGCAAAACACCACCTTAAAGAGGGCGGAGCTGAAAATTGAAAATAATGGTTCGACGTTTTATGGTCTCAATGCAAAATTAATATAATAGGAAATGTGAGTTGGACGTCAAAAAGAACAAGAAATGTGTGTCCGCTACACGACTAGGTTCTTCAAACCCTGTGGCGGCAATATAATGGATTAGGATTGTTTCTCATAGTATAATGCGGGACCTATTTTATGGTTACAAGGAAACATAGACCGCCATATATAGGTTAAAGTTTTAGATAAGGTCATACTCCCATATGCTGAATAGAATTCTCTTTGCATTTTGGCAATTCCAGCAAGAGAGAGTCTTGCAAAAAAGGGTTTTCAGGTCATGGTGTCAGCGTTATGGCTTGGCCAGAGTAATCACCAGATCTTAATCTCATCAAAAACTTGAAACGGAAAATTGTTAACGCAAATATAGCACCCCTTAAACCGAAAACTAAGACAGAATTCTGAGAGAAGGTACAAAGGTCTGGTATTCCGTTCCACAGAACGCTTTCGGTAGCCTAATTAGGTATATGGCTAGAAGATTTGCATCTGTATTAGACGTTTGAGAATACACGATAATGTACTATCAATATTCTATTAGTTCCTATATATTTTTTTAAATATTTTTTTTAATGTATTTTTTTTAATGTATTTGTTTGTCTTTCGAATTTTTGAAATATATATTTTTTTCTTTGTTTTTGTAATATTTGTGAATTGTTTTTTTTTTTTTTAATTTTTTACTGCTACCTATAGCACTTGATATGAAGTACATAATTAAAATATAACTTAGTTGAATTGAAATCAAATTCACATTTTTTTTAGAACGGAAAATTAGTGCATACCATGGTTGATTCTATTTTATTGTCCGTAGCTGTATATATGTATGTATAAATGATCTGTTGTGACGAGTTGTGTCGATTTAACCATGCCCGTCTGTCTGTCTCTATATGCGCGAACTAGTCCCTTAGTTTTTGAGTTATCGACCTTAAAATTTTCACACGAATTTTTCTCTCCAAGAAGCTGCTTGTCGCAGCCACCGATATCTGCCATACGAACTGACCGATCAAAATAAAGTATTTGTGTGGAAACTTTTTTTTATTTGTATAGGGTATTATAGCGACGGTCTAGCCGAACTTTACAAACGGTTTTTCTTATTGTTAATGTATGAATGTCTTATAATTACTTTATGACGTTTTATTTTACTTTATTATTATTTGCAATCGTGTCATTAATTCCATTACATCTATAATATGTATTTGCAATATGTTATCAGTTGATTGAGGAATTTACACATTTGTAATAGTATACATATGTATATATATATATATATATGTATGTATATATATTAGGGTGATTGAAAAAAAAAATATATTTTTACTCTGAAAAATGGGTTCCTAGACTAGAGGTAGGAAGCCTCTCCAAGAATGAGTTCTTAATTGTAACGGGAAGGTCCTCCTACTTACAATTTTCTATTTTTTCTTATTATCATATAGAAAGTTTTATATCTCGCTTCCAACTACTTGAAAAAATATCTTGTTACTTAGATTTTGTAGGAAATTGAATGCTCTACAAAAAAGGTCTGTACTTTTTTCTCGTAAACCCAACCGTTTAAAAGATGTTAACAGTTAAAGTTTGATTATTTTTGGGAAATAAAATCATTATGAATGATGAAACTCATAGTTTTGTAGGAAATTTACTGCTCTATAAAAATGATCTCATATGATTTTTCGATTAAGTTAAGCGTTTACGCTTACATATATACATACATAAGTATATGTTCACAGTTTCCACATATTTCATACTGACTATATATCATAAGGAAATTTATATTGAATTTTTAGAACAAAATCAAGTATACGGTCACTCTAAGGTACATGCATACATACATATATAATTGTATATAAGTCATTTCCGTGCAAACAGTAATTTGCTTCAAGGAAATTCTACAAATATTTTCAGCGGTTATTCGGTTGTTAACTGTAAACATTTTTTCTTGACATTAAGAACTCGTATAAGTAATTTTTTCAATTAAAATCATTCATATTCCTAAGTATATACATATATGTATGTATATGCACCTATTTATTACCACAATTACATTTATGTACGTTTTATTTGTGTACGATTGGTGTTCTTTTTGCGAAATTTGCTGTTTGAAATGTGGTTTTATTATTATTGCAGTATTGCATTACACTTCCATTACAAAAGTCTTTTTATACATTTAACTGTTTGTTGGTGGGTTTTTGCGGTGATTTTTCCATTCACTATTTTTTATTACTGTTTGCTATGCTACGGCTACTTTCGGCTAGCCGTGTGCTTGTAATATTTGAGGTGTGTTTTTACGGTGCTGCCTTTGGGTGTTGCATAATTTATGCCACACCAGGAAACCTGTCGTCGCGGCGAAAATGCACTCAGATTTTTTTCGTCTAAATTACCATTATTCATTTAGTAGTTTTGGTTGTTTCTTAGTTGATATGTACATATGTATATACTTCTACATATGCACATACACATGTGTGTATATACAGATACATGTGTTGTTAAAAAAATGTTGATTTGTAATGGAAATTTACATGGAAAAAACCGATGAGACAATTAACTTGGATCTATAGAAGTAAATATTTCTTATGGGTTTTTATTTCAAAATTATTTTAAATTATTACACCTTAATTGAACGGAACAATTTCATTAAGTTAATTATGCTTAAAAACATTGAAATTGTATCTCATGAACATATTGCAATCTTTTATAAACTAATTTTTTAACGAAATTATATTTTTACTATCTTTTTCAGTAAGCTCCGGTGTGCCTCATACAGTTTATAAGGGAAACCATAGAAAATACACAAAAGAATGTTTGTTGATTTACGATCGAAAAACCGGTGGTATTACGTTCGAGAAGTTAAATCATAATATTCAAGTAAAAAAGACGAGGTAAGTTCGAGCAGTAAATCATTTACAACCTTAAAAATCAGCATCAAATAGGATTATTGAAAAGTTATTTATTTTTTATAATATTCAGTTATATTAGAATCTGTCTTCTTATTATTAAAATGGTATTGAAGTAAACAAACAAATTATTATTTTAATTTTTTTTTTTTCGTTATGGTTATTGTTGTAGTTTTACCATATTGCCATGTGTGTGCTCTGTCTCTTATACACATCTAGATGTGTATAAGAGACAGATACTATTTTTTCTTTAATTTTGTAGTGAAATTTTAAAACCTATTATTATTTTCTTTAATTTTATAATAAAATGTTAAAAAATACTATTTTTTCTTTAATTTTGTAGTAAAATATTAAAAATTATTATTTTTTCTTCAATTTTCAGTAATTTGTAAAATTTCTTTTTTCAAGTTTTATCAATAAGTCATTAGACTAGGTATAGTAGAATTGAGTTTCGAGCTTTGAATAAATTCGCGTTATAGCGTTAAAAAAATCCAAAATTTTTTTTTAATTATTGAAGAAAGGAAATTAGAACAATTTATGTATTTAAGTCAAACAAAACATGCTCATAAATATTATTGGGAGTATTATTTATTAGTATTCAGGTAGCAGAATTTTTAATTCAAAATTTTTTATTAAATACTGGACTTGAAAATTAAGTTTTTACTTTCAAAATGAAAATTAAACTTCGAAAAAATTTAATTCATTTTACCGTATTGAGAGTGAAGCCTTTTTGCAACCTCTGGTTCAAAATGTCATAACGCGAAGTACAGAAAATAACAGTTGTAAAACAATTTTTATAATTCTTATTTATAATTATATTTTGGGATTAATCCTTTTATTTTTATTTTTAATTCGTAAATAAATTTATAATCGGTGTCGAGATTTATTTTTTTGCTTTT